AAATGAATAACAAAATCTTGTTCTAACACTTTCCACTCTTATGGGTGCTCCCACACCACCGTGAAAAATTCATAATGCCCCTAATGTCTAGAGATGCATCTCCTGACGCACTTATTTTAGTCATTTCTCAGACCAAATTGAATAGTCGCCTTTTTCACATAAAAATTAAATTCGAAAATGCATCTCCATATTTAAAAAAATTGCATCCGAAGATGCATCTCCATAAACACCATTTATTTAAATGTTAGTGAGTGGTTTGGAGATGCATCTCCGGATGCTTTTCTTTAATATCCCGCACTAGACTCTTCCATTTTCCTTCTTCTTCATTTTTCTCATATGTTCTCAAAAAATTCATTTGAGCTTTGCAGCGATTTTACCTTTGCATCCATTCAATCAAGCTTTTATCATTTGAGCTCTGCAGCGATTTTACCTCTGCATCCATTCAATGAAGCTTTTATCATTTGAGCTCTTTCCAGCATCTCATAACATCCAACTACTCCTCATTAATCAATTTCTTTCGGTAAGTTTTTCAAATTTTCTTATCTTTTTATGTTTTGATACAATAGTTATTTTAGGTATATTAGGTAGTAGTGTAAACAAAATTGGCAGGCTATTAGAACACGCATTGAGGTTTTTTAGGTCTATAAGGGCAGAAATGGTGTATCTGCCATGGATAAGACAATTGCATGTTTGTCCAGAGATGCATCTCCGAATTTGCTCTTCATTGTTTTGTGAGACGCATCTCCGGATTTAAATCAGGCAAAAAATTAGTTATTCTGTGGGATTTTTTATTTTCTCTTGACATGTTGTTTATATTTGTCAATATTTATAACGCACGTGCAATGGCTAAAGATAACACCGGACAAATTAGGCTCGGGCGTGTGTCCCAAACCGCGTCGGAACAACGTGAGAGTGCCGTGTTCGAACTGCAGTAAAGTGGCATAAAGCAAAAATTGAGTTTTTGAAGGATTCCCTCCGGGATTTATATCGCCTCCACAGGGATCGGTGCGAGGAAAAGAATGTCGTTTAACGATCTCTACATTTCTAAGCTTGTTGTGAAAATTTGTTGAAAGATCAAAGGTACCATAAATAAAGGCAGAAAATATAAATACAAAAAATATAAAGTAAAGACTTTAAAATAAACTGAGCCTTGTTGGGATTGGATTTCATCAATTGATAACACGTGCATTCTTCTAACCAATTAAACACAAATCAATCATTCGTCTAATATCCTCACTTATCACCCACAATAGACGTTATGTCTAACGCAACATCGAGAGAACAACCATATTGTCTCATTGGTGATGTCTCATGCAACTCAACAACACAGGGCATTAAGAATTGATACTCAAACAAATGTTAAGCCTAAATTTATGTCTAGAGTCTAAAACCTAACAGATATTCATTCTAGATCCATATCTAAAAGAGTATTTTTCTATAATGGTTCAAATCAAAGATAAACATGTAGACAAAGATGACATCCATATCAGATCCATGATTGATCCATATAAAACGCCATGATCAGAATACATACATACGATTAACCCTTTTTACATGCATTCAACTAATTTGCTAAATATAAGTGAACATAGTTTCTCATCTCTATTATCACGCATCCTCACAATATCGTATTGATCGCTACTCACATTACTCATGCTAATGATCAACACAATAAAATAAAAGATATTAGTGAATATCAACTTACAAGACTATGTCAAAAGTTTTCTCATTGATAGATGAATATCTAAGATCTAAGATTTGAAAAGGTTTTGTCAAGACTCACAAATAAGGAATCAAAGACAACATTAATATTGAATCAAAATTAATTCATAATATATAGATTAGACGAAATACATAAGGTATCAAAAGATTACATCCAAACCTAACAAGAGATTGAAGCACTTACTCGAAGATCAAGCTCCGAGTTGCTTCGATTTGTGCTTCTCCCTCTTAGGGTTTGTGTTTCTCTCTTTAGAAAATGTTTGGAATGAAGAGAGATAAAGTTCTGATCCTCAAAATATCTAAGTTGTTTCTAAAAAGTGAGAAAAATACATATATAGTAAAACAAAAAATTGTCTTGTTCACCTAGGAAAACACCTTCTTCGCACGGCGAAGACCTTTTTTAGGCACATAAAATGCCTCTGAATAGTTAAACTGCCCTTGGAAAATATCTGAGTTTTTAGTGCGAACACTTCTTCGCACAACGAACTTTGGGTCCTTTTTCTACTGTCATCCAAGGTTTCCTTTTCGCTGGGACCTCGCAGCAAGTTTGCACAGTGAACATCTGATGGCTGCTCGTTGGTGTTCGCACAGTGAACATGCTAAATCTTCATTATTTTGGTTTTCTTGTCCACTCCTTTGTGTCTTAATCATTGATGTTTTATGCCTATATCCTGCACAACAACACACACATCAAGGAATCCAAAGGTATTTGCAATATAATTGAAGAATTACATAAGAACAAGAAATAAATCCATTAAAACATGAGAGTTGAGTTGAAAATGCCAATAAAGATAATTTAATGTAAGTCAAAAATTGCACTTAACAGGTTGCAGCAAAGACCGTGAGGCCACGAGTTGCTAATAACTCATTTGATGTTGCATTTAATTCGCAACCCCGCCCGTCTAGTTCTCATAGCCAACTCTCTCAGATATCACAATCATATGATGCAACATAACCTGAGGTTCCTAAGGCCCCTGTTGACCCTGAAGCCCAAAAGGGTGGCCCATTAGAGAGTTATCCTGGAGGAAAATTTGATACCTTTTTACTTTATAATTATACAGATCATGCTGCTAGGCATGTCTGGCATGGAGAGGTATATTTATTTTCTTTTGCAATACATATCTTGTCAACTAATTAAATTCATATGAATTCTTATGTTTTATTTTTACAAGAGTGTGATTGTTTGAAAATGATTAACCAAAACAAGAATATATTGGCTATGAGAATATATATATATATATATATATATATATATATATATATATATATATATATATATATATATATATATATATATATATATATATATATATATATATATATATATATATATATATATATATATATATATATATATATATATATATATATATATATATATATATATATATATATATATATATATATATATATATATATATATATATATATATATAGCCGCATGTTTGGCTACCTATTCGAAGTTGGGTGAGGCTTGTCTTTGGAAGACAAAGCAGATGACGGAGTGTTGCAAGCTGTTTACGGTAATTCTTATTACTAATATTTTCATAATTCTTTTGTTACACTTGTTATTAATATTGTATCCGAACTTTTTTCAGGGATGGATCATTTCTCACTTTCCTTGCATCATCGGGTTTGAAGTTCACCTAACTACGTCGAGGACTGGCCTCGCGCAACTGCTTTTATTCTGCACGAGGGGAATGGTGCGGTCGATCCATTCAAAGTCTCTCTTGACCATATGGTACAAAATGATGTTTGCTTCTGCCCATACGAGGGTTACCGCCAGATATGTCAGTTTGACGTCATTTCCTTATACTCCGACTAGCTGGAATATGGGTCATCTCTTATGTATCCCTATCTACCTGAGTGAGTGATGCACCAATTTGGATACTTCCAGATTATTCTAAGACCTTCATATGAGTTTATTCCTCCCACTGTCTCCCGTAGAGACCTATAGACGATACTAGATAATCTCGAAAGTCACCTAGTACTAGAGGAATATTGTCGGGAGCCAGCTCATGTACACTGGGCTTGTGTTTAGGGCACTTGACAAGGTTTTAAAGGGAGTCACACTATATCATGACGCTAGACGCTCTTGGAGAACCACCTAGGCCGGCTAATCTGGAGGTACTTGAGGTTCGGAATGAGCAGGCAAAGAGCATGACAGGTATGTCAGTGTATTGCAGATATGGGTAGAGCACTCATAGAGTCAGGACTCTTTGAGTATGGCAGTCCCTAATTGTTCCTAGTGGAGCGCATGGTTTCTGAGTTGCGGAATGTCATACATTACACGCGGCAGAGAAGGCTAACGGTTAGACATACTCAATAGTTAATATTGGGATGTATTTTTATTTTTATTTTTTGTATTTTCCAATTACTTTTTGAAAAAAATGTTATGTATGAATTTTCATGACTTTTTCTACTAATGTATGACTTTTTACTTTCCTTTTAACTTTCATATAATTGTATTTTTCTTTAATTTTACGTTAATATAAGTTAATATAAATTGACATCACAAAAATAAAATGTTTAGACAATAGTATTGTTATGATATGATTCAAAAAAGATTTCGGAAATATATCTTTAAAATAATTATCCAGAGGATACCGTAATGGCTTATTATAATTATAATTTAGACGCATGAAGAACAGTCTTTGACTTTCAAAGGTCTATTGAACAATTCCCAAAGAGTTTCACGTTTTCAACTCGTTAACATTTAACAGTATCAAAAAGAAATGAAAATAGTGAAAAGATTATTTGCAAAATTCATTATGATCTTATTTTGATAAAAGAAAACAGTATCATTCTTACACAAAATATCATTCATAAATTAAAAAAAGCTAAATTATATTTTAGAAGTTATTTTAAAATTTATTTTGGTCCCCTAAACTTTTTTGTTTTATTTTTCGTATTTTAAGTTATACTCATTACATAAACGTTAAATAGTATGTTCCTTTAAGAAACCAATGTCCATTTAAGTTCTTGAAGCAACAATTCAATTTACAAAAGAAAATCTGATAGGGAATTAAAGTACGTAACATTTCTAACTAGAGACCAAAATGAAAACAGAAAAACAAAAAAATTTGAGTGACAATGTTCAGAGTTTCTAAGTTTAAGGACCAAATCAAGTGATGTGGTATGAAAATCTTACAATATTCATTCATAGTGTTATTGCAACAGGATTACCAGTAACAACTTTAGTACAAAACAGCTTCACAAATATATTATGTGAAAGGAATTGAAAACTAACTTCTAGGAACCAAAAATTCTCTCAATAACTAAATTTTGATATTGAAATAATCTGCGTCAAAATGATGCAAACGTACGTATCCATCTTCACCTCCACTTGAAAAACTACAACACAAAAAGGACGTGAAAAATCAATAAATAAAAGAAACAGTAAATCCTGCCATGAGCATGATGCAACAGAAAATGAGAAGGTGAAAAACAAAGGATGTACCTTTTTCCGTCAGGGTTAAAGGCAAGAGCATTGATCGGTCCAAAATGCCCTTTGACGCCCCCAATTTCTTCTTGAAGAATCTAAACAAAAACAAACAACAAATATGAAAATTGATGCCTTGAAAGAACTCAAAATGGTATTGGAAGTAAAAAACAAATCTACCTTATCATAGAACTTGGCTTCAAATTTGCCAGCACGATGATCAGTAGTTGTAACAGCTGATGCATCCTGACCACCTCCAAGTACCACCTACAAAAGAACAGAGTAAGGAATAGAGAAAACCATACAATGACTGGAATAGTATATGTCCCGAATAAATGAAAGAAGAAAACTGAAAAATATATAAAATTTCCAAGCAGAACTATCAGAAAGGAACCATTTAGAGACATATTTCTTGCATGAATTACTAGTAAGCAACTCAGACATTCAAAAAAGAACTTTGTAGTTTGTAGTATCTGGAGAAAATATTCACACCAAAAAAGGGTCAGGATATTAGGAAAACTTTTAAACGGCTTCCTAAAATTATAGGACACTTTTATGCAAGAGGAACCAAGGAAAACATAAGTTAATTAATCAAATAAAGATGAATGAACCAATATTACTTGCAGAGATTACCAAGACTATTAAAATGAATATCATGACATGACAAAAATTAGATTAAATAATTGACGATAGACAAAAACATACATGATTAAGAAGAGGTGACATCGCAACTGCATTGACAGGACGTTCTGTTACATATGTCTTGATTAGAGACAGTGTTCTGCTATCCCAAATCTAGTTAATAGCCAGAAAATATCCGTCAATATTTGCAATAATATCATGGTATGTTGCAGAAGATTAAAAAAATGAATTAAATGATGATGATACCTTAGCAGACTTATCAAGGGAGCCAGTTATAAAATGTGTACCATCAGCAGATTTGGCGAGTGATGATATTGTCTTTTTGTGGCCAGATTCCTTGTCCGACTCCTTAAGTAGTTTTCCGGTCTGCAAGCAAACAAGTGAAACAAAAATGAAGTCATTGTAGTTGTTGGTGATAGTATTAGTGACTTGAAGTGTTTGCAAAATAAATAAATATAGGAAATAAGGAAGACCTCAGAATCCCAAATTCGAATGACAGAGTCTTCTCCGGCACTGATAATGGTTCTGTTGAGGGGCCCCCATATGGCTCTATTGATTCTTCCCTGAGGGCCCTTAATGACAAGCAAAGATTCCCCGGTCTCTGAATAGAACAAAGGAACATTGGCATTAGCATTGGCCGTCAGCAAATTTGCAAGAGAGATAAATATAGAAAAACGTTGCTTACGGTCTGCGGGATCTTTAGCAATGCGTTTGACATGGATTGCTGAAGTCAGCTCCATGAATGGGTCAGTGGTGATAACTGCAAGCTTATCGCCGACAGAAAAGTCAACAGACCTTGCAGGGGAATCAAAATTGAATGTGAACAATTGCTGACCAGTTTGCACATTCCATAGTTTTGCCGTCTGGTCAGCACTGCCTGTAATGAGTCGGCCCGAATCTCCTGTAACCACCCAACCATCAAATTAACTTATATTTTATTGCAGAAAATACTATTCACACATTGAAATTGAAGAGGACAGACTTACTAGAGACGTCGCAGCACCAAACGGCACCATTATGGCCTCGATAAGTGCCCAGACGTTCACCGTTGTCAGCATACCATACAGTGGGGTTGTGATCTTTAGCACAGGAAAAGAGAAGATCACCGTCCCTGTTGTACTTGAGAAATGTTAATGGCCTCTCGTGGCCTTTCATCAAAATGGGCCTCATGACTCTTTTTTCTGTCTCTCCTTGGCTAGCAGCTAGCCTGCAAATTACAGTTGCAACAATAGCACGGTTAGGGTTCCTGGTGTCACTCATGAACTTAATAGTATTTATGACACAAAAAACAAAAAACTTACTAATACTTCCAGTCAAAAAATAAACTTGCAACCTATGTTCTCAATAGCACACAGTAGCATAGTAGCGTAGTGGTGATAGGATCAGCGCAATGCTTTTGGCCTGCATATTGCTGTCAGCAATAGAGGTTGTAGTGGTCGCCAAATGCGAAAAAATTGGGTCCCTAAACAGCTATAACATCCTATATTAAGGTTTCAGGAATTAACTTCCTCAATCTTTTTTTAAGGGTATAAACTTCAATCTGAACCCTTTTAAGTGTGGTATTTTGTTCTTCATTATGTTATATACTTGCTCACAAACAATCGGTCTTTCTTCTTCCTACTCTAGTTCAGTTCTGCTATGTTCGTCTTCTCTGCTTAAGTTATATTGCTCCATATTTTAGGGTTTTTTAACTATTAAGCATGATAGTCTCTTTAAATTTGTGTATTTTTTCTTTTTTTGATTATCATGTTTACTTCGTACACTTATCATACCAAGTTAGGAAAACCTCAATACCAACATATCATATCAAATATCATCAGGCTTTGGCTTAATTTATTTAGATAAATAGATTCCTTGGATCAAATTTAGCACGAAACAACGCCTGTTATCCGAACATGTTGGACATGACAACCAAATGTAGTTACATTCAATAATTCCATTTTCTCAAATCAGTGTGTTGATAATAGTAGTGTTTGTGTTCAATCTACGACTCTTGTCTGTGCTTCATACATAAAAATCTAAATTGCTACAAACAATCCTTCTAAGGTTGCATCTAGGAAGATAAACTAAGCAATCACACATGAATTCAATCAGACAAACATAAAACCAAATCGAAACCGCAGTGCAAAGGCGAGCTATGTTCTACGTCGAAGCGAATCAGAAAAATCGGAAAATGTAAAATGAAAAGAGAAACCTGAACGGACTTTGTTGTTGACTCTGGCGGCTGACGATCAACTCCGGCTGCGGTTCCGGCGGATTGTTGAGATCAGTGGGACTCGAAGATACGAGGGCTAAGGGTGAAGCTCTGCTGTGATTTCTGTTTTAACGGATTGGGCTTATCTGGGAAACCATTTCAACCCAAGGCCTGTGCAGAGAAAATATTGTATCGGATTGGGCTTAGGATTAAAGTTTCATCTTTTATTTTACGTTACCATCCCCCAAATTAAACTCGATACCCCACACTTTAAGCGAATTGACTATATTATCCTTCATATTCTTTAAAACATTTTTTAAAACACACTCAAAATTTTTGCACTTTTTAAAAGTTTTAGAGAGACTTTTCTCAAAGTTCATGAATTTTTATCGAAAATTTCATAATTTTTTATAAAATCATTTGTATTTGTACCAAAAATTTTAGAAATTCTGATATATATTTATGAGTATATGCTAGGAATTTTAGAATTTTTAGTATTTCCTCAATTTTATGAAAATTTTAAAAATTTTAATTGTTTTAAATGTAAAAATTTTATCAGAAATTCTAAAAATATCAATAGTTCAATTTTTAAATGTAGTATTGAAAATTTCAGAGTTTTCAGTAATATATTGAAAATTCCTAAAATTTTCAAATTTACAGTATTTTCATTGATTTTTTGCATTTTTTCATTTTGCACTGAAGACCGTGGGAGAGGACAATAGTATTACAGGCAGGACCACTGATAGAGCGACATCACGGGCTAAGCTACAGAGGCAGAGTCTTCCCAGCTATAGGTTAGGAGAATTGTTCCAATCGATTCTCATTGAAAACGATTGGCATCAAGCTCGATCGATCCATTAGTTAGCCTACTGTAAAATGTTCTCCACATAACCTTCAAATTTTCATCGATCTTTAACTTAATAAGGTTGTATTTTACCTTTTCATAACTATCAATCTATTATGCATGAAAATCGATCTTGTGCGCCTTTCTATTCTCGACGTCGTGCAACAAATAATTCAATGTGGATCTCAATACGATGAGACAAGTGGTGTCTTTCGAAAGCCATAACTCTACATAAGGTTTCACTTTATTGAAGTACACTTTTGTCGTAGTAAAAAATTGAATAAAAGGCATTTTAAGATGTTTTTCTTAACAATATATGACCCTTATTTATACAAGTTTGGATTCATTCTGGACCATAAAAAATGGTCATTACAATCACGACCATACAAAATTTTCAGCAAAACCATAACCGTTTGAAATTTAACCTATCGGAAATTTCATTGTACTTTAAATTTTCGGTAAGCAAAGGAGAATTTCAAATTATCTGTATGATTTTATAGATAGTGGATATTTTAAAATTTTGGGTATTATCTAATACTAACAATATTAAATTGTACTACTGAAAATTTTGATTTTTTACCGAAAATTCAAACTTAACTACCGAAAATTTCGTTCGTATTTTACACTAAAATTGATCTAGGGGAAATTGGGGGTTTAAGAAAATATGTGTGGGTGTCAGGTTTAATTTGAGGGTGACAAGCTAAATTCTCTTATTTTACCGATTATAGATAAATAAAAATTTATTTTTAAATTTATTGAGAAAAATCAAAACTATTTTGTGTTAGTTTTGATAATAAAAATTATTTTAGCTATGAATTTAAGATTACATTGTGTTGAAGTTGTTAAGTTTGGTTCTCTTGTAATTGTAATTATAGTGTTAAGTTATTGAAGAGATGGTGAGTAAAATGACACAAATAAAATTTTAAAATGTGATGACACAGATAAAAAGAATATATATGTCCATTCACGTTGCGTGGGTATTGTGTTTGAAACTTACTATGATTTGTGGTGTACATAATTATGAGTTTGATCATAAATTATAAGCCCATCTTATTGTTAGTTGTTTAAACATTAAAGGTCTCCCTCTCCCATACTTAAAACAAGCATTGTCCTCAATGAAAGGACATAATTTATTAAAGTAAAGAGAAGGAAAGAACAACTCCCTGATCAAGTTGCAGTGTAGTTAGGTGCTTCCAAAGAAAGCTCCTCTATACCGACATCTTCAGGCACCGAACCTCCATAGAATAACTTCAGACGCTGCCCGTTAACCTTAAAGACTTTGTCAGTACCTGTACTTTTAATTTCTACTGCTTGTTGCATCTCCAAATTACAACTTTTCACCGCCCAATAGGCACGATGTTCTACCTCAACAGGAAGATGGCATGCCTTACCAAGAACAAGTCGATAAGGAGACATCCCAATGGGTGTCTTGAAAGCTGTTCTCTGAGCCCAAAGTGCGTCTTCTAGACGACGACTTCAGTCCTTCCTGTTTGGTTGCACCATTTTCTCTAAAACCTGTTTGATCTCCCTGTTTGAGATCTCAGCTTGTCCATTAGTTTATGGGTGATATGCAGTAGAGACTCTATGCACAACTCCATACTTTCGGAGCAAAGCTTCCATGGTGCGGTTACAGAAATGGGTGCCTTGGTCACTGATGATAGCTCGCGGTATTCCAAACCTGCAAAAAATATTAGACCTGACAAAATCTGCGACAACTCTAGAATCATTAGTCTGAGTGGGGATAGCTTCTACCCACTTTGAAACATAATCAACAGCAAGTAGAATATAAAGGAAACCAAACGATACAGGAAAGGGACCCATGAAGTCAATTCCCCATACATCAAATACCTCACAGAAAAGCATAGGTTGTTGAGGCATTTCACTCTCGCGAGTGATGTTTGTACCTGCTATCTGGCACTCTTTACAAGTGCGGTACGTCTCATAAGCATCTTTAAAAACAGTTGGCCAATAGAAACCTGAGTCGAGGACTTTTCTTGCAGTTCTTTGAGGGCCAAAATGTCCTCCGACTTGAGACGCATGAGAAAATTTTAAAATAGATTCAATCTCATAGTCGGGAACACATCTTCTAATAACCTGATCACTATCAAACTTCCAAAGATATGGATCATCCCAGGTATAATATTTAGCATCACTTTTGAGTTTATGAATCTGTGATCTGGATGCACCTGTAGGAAAAACACCAGCAACAAGATAATTAACAATATCAGCAAACCAAGGTGTAATACCATGTAAAACTAAAAGTTGTTCATCAGGAAAGTCATCCTGAATGGGAAAAAGATCTTCATCTCTCTCTATCCTGCTCAAATGGTCAGCCACTAAGTTCTCAGCTCCACTTTTGTCTTTAATTTCTACATTAAACTCTTGGAGCAACAACATCCACCGAATCAGTCTCGGTTTTGCATCCGGCTTCTTCAACAAGTACTTTAAAGCTGCATGGTCAGTAAAAACAACAACCTTGGAACCTAGCAAATAAGATCTGAATTTATCAAGAGCAAAAACAATAGCTAGAAGTTCTTTTTCAGTGGTAGTGTAATTTGACTGTGCAGAATCTAAAGTCCTAAAAGCATAGTAAATAACATGGGCAGCCTTGTCAACTCTTTGTGCAAGGACAGCCCCAATAGCATAATTCGAAGCGTCACACATAAGCTCAAAAGGGAGGGTCCAGTCAGGGGGCTGAATTATGGGAGCGGAGGTCAATGCTTTCTTCAAGAAGTCAAACGCCTGTTTGCATTTGTCATCGAAGTGGAAAGTGACGTCATTCTTCAACAAGTTTGACAGCGGAAGAGCTATCTTGCTGAAATCCTTGATGAAACGCCTGTAAAAACCTGCATGACCAAGAAAAGAACGAATCTCGCGAATGCAAGATGGGTAAGGTAGTGTAGAAATCACATCAATCTTAGCAGGGTCAACAGAAATTCCTTTTTTCAGAAATTATATGACCAAGAACAATTCTCTGCTCAACCATAAAATGACATTTTTCATAATTTAAAACAAGGTTGGTTTCAATGCATCTTTCTAAAATCAAGCTTAAACTGCTCAAGCATGCATCAAAAGAAGAACCATAAACAGTAAAGTCGTCCATAAAGACTTCCATGCAATTTTCAATAAAAT